TGTAGTGTTTTATGTTAAAATAAACCTTTGGGTTAAGTTGTCGCAAGCAGGTTCTTGTGTTTCTTGTGAATTTGGTCTTAAATTTTTATTTCAAGTGGCATTAAAAAGTCTTAAAAAGTCTTGAATTTAACTTGCCTTATGCTGTAGGAACCCTGACCACAGATACACGCCCGAAATTGAGCATGAGCAGAAAAAAATAGCTAATGGGACGAGCACGTAGGACGGCCATATGTAAACATATCAGAATGATTCATAATTAAGAGGACCACTTGTTTAGATGATCCATCTGGAAATAAAAGATTGTCTTCTGCACCTTTAAGGTCAGGAAACAAGGTCATGAACCAATAGATTATTTCAACAAATTAAATTCTATCCTGATGACCATATTGAATAACAGACAGATACCCATAAAATGGTAAACTTTCCTGCTGTTCAAGAGGTTTTAAACCAAACTGAAATTCTCTATAGAAACTATATGACTAAAGATATCCATGGATCAATTTTCACTGATAGACTACAAGTGTCTTAAATATCGGGACTGATAGAGATGATGATATTGAATCAGTGGATCTCTAATCTTTATATTTGCTGCATTTTTAAAGCAAAGCTGTACAATATTAACCCTTCTTAGCTGCCACCCCTCAAGTTAAAGCGTAAAAGATGTGTCCATATCCAATAACTGAAGGTTATCAGCTTGTTTGGAAAACACAAAAAATATATCAGTTCTATTGGTTTTTAGAGCCAACCTACAAAATACATTTCATTTTGGAACCTTTTAAGGGTACAAAAAGCAGCAATTGGTCACACAATCTTCCTACCGGTTGTATTACCAGCACTTTTCTGAAGTAATTTACTACAGGTTGGTCCTCTGAAAGGTAATGTGTTATTTGTCCCAGTTTGTTACATCATCTGTGACTCAATTTGTTTAAACTTGGATCAAAACCACAGCATAGCAGTATGCTATAGGCTAACATTGAGCTGCTAACCTAACTGAAGTGTGCTATAGAATAGAAAATCCCTTTAATTGTCCCACAATGGGGAAATTCTGGTGTCTACAGCAGGAAAAAGATTATAGCAAAAATGGTCTCACAAATTGGACCTTAGAAATAAAAATAACATGATGGTGAAGAGTTAAAAAATAAATAAAATACTGTACTGTTAAATGTTTAAACAATATAAAAACTGTGCACCTGGAGATTAAATAACCAATATACAGCTATGGACATTTTTACGGTAATGGATATTTGAAAATAGCAGCAACATCAGGGATGTGCAAAATGACAGCAGCATGTTATTTAACTGACTTAGGTAGAAACTGTGCAAAATCAGCATGAATGTAACAACTTATTGAGGTTGTTGGGAACAGTGATGGTTATTGAGTCTTACAGCTGCTGGGAGGAAGGATCTATTTATTACATAACGCTCCCTGGTGCATTTAGGGTGCAGCAGTCTGTCACTGAAGGAACTTTCTTGTTTTGCAACAGCTTCATGAACGGGGTGGGAAACATTATCCAATAGAGATGTTAATTTAGCTAGGATCCTTTAGATCTTCATATCAGTAACACGGGGTCTGTAGAAATCTGATACTATTTTATAAGCTGCAATCTAAAACCCAAATTATCTGCAGTATAAACCTGAACTAAATCATTTTGCCTTTAAAACAGTCTGATCCTTATCAAAACTTTATTCTGTGTCTGGAAACACAAAATTACAAGCTTTGAAGATTTTTTTAAATTTCTTTATTTGGCTCTAGTGGCGACTTGGATAGAATTAAGCCTAATATCTTTTTGCACTTTTAATGCTTAAGCAACATATAGATGTTTTGTGTTTTTATAACTAACTGAATGACCAATGAGGCATTGATAGGAACAGCTCCAGGCTGAACTGCTGCGTGTTTCTATCATTGCAAACATTTGTAAATCTTGGACTGTCACCTGTACTTGTTTATTCTGTTTGTGCACAGGGTTCAAATGAACAAGGGAACTGCAGTCATTAAGATTTGCCTGTTTAAGTGAAGGTAAAACAAGAAGTTTGTGCACAGGAACAACAAAATCTTGAATGTTTAGTCTGTTATGCTGTTTTCTGGCATTATACGAGATAAGCTGTGATGATGGAGTATCCTTGGTTTGTTTGGAGGTAGGTTTATAGGAAAGTTAGTTATTTTAGTGTTTAATTAGCCTGGAGACTCATGGTTTGGTTAGAATGATGACTGTGGAGGTGAGAGTTCTTTATTTAAACACCAGCTTTGTGAGCTGCGTTATATGTTCAGGAAATTAGAAGTTGTTGCTTTTCAGGTAGCAGATTCTGCAGCTTTTACAGCATAATCAGGATTTTATTTGTAGGAACTTAATGTCACTTAACCGTTGGTATGTCTTCAGAGATCCCTAACTATCCTGCTTTTCCCCTCCGTCAGAGTCATTGCCGGAACAAACCTTTAAGGACGAGAGTGATGCAGCCACCCTGAGACAGACCCTTCCAGATTTAACCCCCGACGACCCCTCTGATGCTCCGGCTCTCCCCGCTGAAGACTCCACTCCAGCCGCTGCTTCCGCCGAGGCAGCTGAAGGGGAGGAGGCCGCTGATGCTGGGGACCAGGAAGGCGAGGAGTCTCCCAGCAAATCCCCCTCCAAAAAGAAAAAGAAGTTTCGCACACCTTCCTTCCTAAAGAAAAACAAAAAATAGACAGTCCTAGATTGGAGAAAGTTTGATAAGGCTGACCTCGCCTTCATTTTGGTTCCTTTTATTTTGTTTTGTACTTTTGCCCTTCAAGTGAGCCACACTCCCACACTTATTCTTCGGTTCTATATGTTAAAAATTTAACCTGCTTTTGCTCATTAGTGTGTATACAGTGTAAAACAATCGCATTATGGCTTTTTTTCTGTTTAGATATTAAAGGCTTTTAGTTGTGAGTGCAATCAGTCTTGTCAACTCCATCTTGTCTTAAATGCATGACTATAACTACAGGCTCACGTGCTTAAATTAGAGGTTTTTATTTCTTTTCTTTTTTAACTATTAACCAATGTAACCACTAGAATGTATAGGGATTGTATCCAAATATGTCTGCCGCTGCAGGGCAAGAAGCTTGTACCTTCTGCTGAGCTGATGGTCACTTCTGACAGTGATAAACTGCATAAATGCAACCCTGAAGCTGTGCGCTCATTTTATTACAAATCTGCAGACTGGAAGAGCTACAGTCCGGCTTCTCCCTAATGGTTGTTTGCTCGTGTCCAAAATGCAATAACTCCAATGAAATCACTATCAGCCACATGTAATGTTTTCCTTTTTTTTTTTTTTTTTTTTTTAAACATTGTTTTACTTACTCACATGGTTCTTAATCTAATGTTGGTCAAATACTTTGCACATCGGATTAAGTGAGAACACTGCTGCATTATGCAAGATTAGCCCTGCCTTGCTTCTGACATTGTGCTCGTGGATCAGTCTAAGGCTTCATGCAATGTATTTGCCTCTGCCTGTAAGCCTATATTATGAAGGAATGTGTACATTTGTATTTTTTTTTTCTGTTTTTATCATAGCTTTTATTTTGTATTATCTCCCCAATTTCACATTGCTAATTTGCATCTAGTGTTGCATATTTCCATCGGTTTCTGGTGGCATTTTGTTACATAAATCAGATTATTCCCTTTATTCTGTCATTAAAAACCCAGTTTTAGGAATACATTTTGCTTTTATCCAGTTGCATTTATTCATTAAAAAGGTTTCATGTTTGATCATGTCATAGAATCATAAATCGTGATGCTAATTAGTCTCTCCATGAATGATACTTAGGCTGTGAATCACTGTCAACAGTAAAGACGATTTACACTGGAGGAACAAAAGAAGCTATTTTTGTTGTGACTGCAATCAATGGGTGGAAAAAAAAAACAGTTTGATGTTCAGTTTCAGGTTGTGTGAATCGTTCAGCTGTAATAGAGAGTCTTGACGTGCTTTATGAAATTGACCACTGGTGACAGATGATAGACTTGCATCGCATCGAAGGGCTTCAAACTGATTGTGGGTTATATTTCAACTGTTCCGCTGAAGCAAATACTAATGTCCAACTAATCCTTTAAATCTGCTTTATTGGTGGTTTTGTTTTTAGACATGCTAAGTTGTATCATCTATCTGAATTATACCCATTTAAATATTTTCTTTTTACTCAATTTACAAAGTTATTCCACCACTTTCTCATGGTTCCACCTCTGAATAAAAACACTACCATGAAAAGGAGAATTGTGTGACTAGTTTTCAATATTTTACATAAATTGCAGCACGCTGAAATATTAATTTTGCATCCTGTTTTTTTTTTTTTCTCGGTTTAACATATTTCTTAATATGTGAAAGTTTGACAGTTTTAATGTAATAAAACGTGGAAAACTTGCAAAAGGCACACATTGGCAGAAATATGCTTTTGTGGTTTAGTTTTGTTCATTAGTATCGGCTATAGTTTTGCACTTGATTTTGTTTTCAGTTTGTTTTTTTTAGGCCTAGAAAAAAAAACATTGGTTAAGATTGTACAAAGTTAAATAATATCATTTAAAACTTACATTTATAATAAGTCTCATACAGAAGATCAGTAATATATTAGGTGTTATATCTAAATCAACATGATTTTATGTAGCTCCTTACACCAAGTAAAAAAAAAATATATTTTCTTGCTTCAAGAGACAATATAATAGGAATATTTATTTCATATCATTGAGCCTAAAGTTAGGCTAAAGATTATTAAGGTGTATGCTTTTATTAAAGAGCTTGAAATGTTGATAAATTTCTCATACCCTAGTTATTTTACCAATTTTATTTTTTTACATACAACATCAAACACTATCGTACTCTTTAGGGATTACAGCATGATTACAGTAATCCCTTGTTTTAAAGTAGAGAGAACAGTACCTTTCCCAATGCTCTCTGAAATTACTTTGGCTAGAAAATGATTAATTTGGTCACTATTAAGAAATGTCCCATTAACCTGTTTCATAGTAGTATTTAGCTGTTCTACCTTCAGAATAAAGTGTATGGTGTGTATTAATGCCTTCACTAAGTGTTTAGGGTTTCCTTTGGGTGGCTTAGTTTACAGTTTACCCTAAAAAGAGCAAATTTTTTTGAATCAGAGGATTCTTGCCCTCTAAATTTGACTGGTGTATTGGATTTAGAGCCTTTTTTTAAAATGTTTTTCCATGTTACCTCTTCTATTTTAATCTTGATCTTCTATTTCTATTCTAAATTGTCCAAAAAAGGCTACATTAGAGCATCATTTGATATAAGTATTCTCTTTGGAGAGCATCGTAATTTCACAGATTGCTTAATTTTTTTGCTTTTTTTTTTTTTTTTTATCTAAACCATATTGTCTTTGAAACCTTGCAATTTCTAATTAAACAGCTCACTTGGTACTAATGTATGGAGGACCAACTTTGCCATAATTAGAAATAAATGCAGATATAAATAAATGCTCCAAAAATAAATAAGCATACAATTAATTGCCACCCCAAAATACAATAGAAATTAAATTATACAGGTAGAAATTAAATTATACAGGTAGAAATTAAATTATACAGTGAGACATATATATATATATATATATATACGGTATATATATATATTTTTTTTTCTTTTTTTTATTAGCTGATTTGTTTATTCACCTTTGTTATAATTACCTTATTTATTTAATGTCCGTTATATTCAATTTTATTTATTTATTTATCACTTATTTCTTAAAGCATTTATTTATGTGCATTTTATAGTATTTTTGTCTGGTTACTGCAGTCAAAACGCTAAAAATGAAGAAATTAAAACCGAGCCAGGTGTGGCCGCTAGGGGCGCTGTTATCAAAACTGATACAGGAAGTAATTCTGGTGTCGTGACCCGTGAACACGCTCGGAAATGGAAACCTTGTGAGGAAACGTGGATACCAAATGATATAAATATATATATATATAGAATTATCTCCGGTCATAACGACTTTAGTTTGACTTTAAGACCTGGTGGTTCTTATATTTGGACTTCTAGGTGTGGCTTCAAGGTAAATATGTATTCTGTTTGTATGTTTACAATCTGCTATGACTAACATTTGCTGTTTTTTATTCCTTTTTATCTTTAGTTCAGCCGTAATTTCATTAACAGTTACTTTAGTTTAACAAATTGTTTGATTTAATGTTCCAGCTGCTGGAAATCAGGCTGCTATGTGTGGAAGGGCTAATGTTGATTAACGTGCTGAGAGCTTTGAGTTCTTGTGATGGTCAGTCTTATAGGGGAAGTTTCACTGTTTGCTCTAATTATTTCTTTAGAAATAGAGGAGTGAGAGAATCTGAGCTGCCAGTTTAATGTGTTTTAGGTCTGAAAAGTTCGGCATCCCATCAGCAGAGCTGCAACTAACGATTATTTTGCAAATCGGTTAATCTGTCTATTATTTTTGTCGATGAATCGATTAATAATCGAATAGAGCAGAAAGATGTTAGGAGTTCTGCATAGAGCATGTTGACATAATAAAAGTTTTTATCTTTAAGGCAAAATATATTAAAAATGTTTGTAAGTGGGATGCTCTGTTAGCTCAAGGGCTGTTTTACAGTCTCTATATTCCAGTTAATGATTAATAGATTGTTAAATTAGTTGACAAATATTTCAATAATTGATAATAATTGATTAATCCGATTAATTGTTTCAGCCCTAATCATCAGCATGTATGATGATCATCCATCCATTGTTTCCACTGAACATCTGTGCATCCATCCATCCACCATCCATCCATTTACTGACTTGTCTGTTGATTCACCATTTATTCATTCTTTTTTTTTTTCTTTTTTTTTTTACCCCAGCTTTTTTATGTTCATTATACTGTTACAAGTATAAAGCAATGAAATTCACTCTCTGCATTTAACCCATCCCCTTGGGGAGCAGTGGGCTGCCATTGTGTAGCTCCCGAGGAGCAGTAAGGGTCTTGCTCAGGGACCCAGAGTGGCAGTCTGTGGAAGTGGCGCTCAAACTCAGAACCTCAGGATTCCAAACTCTTTGCCCTAACTACTAGGCCACTACTGCCCTCCTTCCTGTTGTATTTTTTCTTGCAAGTTTCATAAAAATAAAAACAAAATCCGTGTTGAACGTTTGTGTTAACACTTTAGGATGTGGCTTAAAAGAAAAGGACAGAGGACTCCCTGCTTCTCTCTAGGAAGATGCTTTGCAGCATTCGATGCAGGTCTAGCAGTTTCTGCAACAGTATCTTCCCCACTGCCATCAGACAGCTGTTGAAAAAACTCTGAATCATGTCAAAAACTCTGCATCACACTGATAATACCAAACCAAAAATACTGCATATTTGCACCCTGTATATTAATGCTCTGAGCTTCCATATAAATGCATTTTTTGCCCTATGTTTTTTCTGCCACACTGTTTACATTTGATCACTTCTGCACTTTAAGTTTATTGACTGTCTTGAAAAGCTGTACTAAATGAAATGTCGAAACGTTTAGTAAACGACAATAAAAGTTGTTTTAAATTATGCAATTTTGTTACTGAGGAGGTGTGGGAAACTTTATTTAAGAAGGGTAATAAATGTGTTTCTGGTCACAGATGGGAAAGCCACCTAAAAGGAAGAACCTGGCTGACAAAGTTCGTAAAACCAAAACCGCCACTGAGATCAAAAACAATCCTTTTGAGGTAAAAATCAACCGAAAGAAGTTTGATGTTCTGGGGAGGAAAAGCAAACATGATGTGGGTCTGCCGGGGGTATCTCGCTCCAAAGCCATCAGCAAGGTGAGAAACCGCTCTGCTTTTTTTTATAAAGACGCCTCTGACTTGTTTGTCTTTACAGCCTGATTATTTTATTTTGTTGGTTTTTAAAGCACATCGACAGTACTGTAAAAAAAAAAGGTTTACATCATTAAATATTTCTTTCTTTTTTTTCCCCTTTTTTTGTCACAGTTAAATGCTTTAGATCGCCAAATGGTCAAAAATAATTTTTGATTCGACACTTTAAACTGTTATCTAAATATTATTTCATTTATTAAGGCAAAAAAGTTTTTTGATTGTGTGTTTTCATTTTAAGTTAAGAGGGAATAGATAAAAATACTCGTTTACAAGGAAATCACTTATAAAACTTTCTTATTTTTTGTTTATCTGTAGAGAAAAGAGACACTCTTGAAGGAGTACAAACAGAAAAACAAGTCTAACAAATTAATCGACCGACGCCTTGGAGAATATGATTCCAAGATGGCTCCAGAAGACAAAATCCTGCAGAGGTTCACCATTGAAAGACAGGTTGGTGACGTCCTAAAGGATTCTGTTGGACTTGGTTCCTTTTTATACATTTGGCACAAAAGTGAAGAACAGTTAACAGTTAGTTCTCTATTGTAACAATGCTATATGTTTTTGATTGATATCATCTATTGCCTGATGCTTCAAGGCTTCAAAAAAGAACAAAAATGTAATGTCTTGTTTATTTTATGTCTTATTTATTGATTTAACAAAGTGAGTCCTTAGTAGTGCTTGAAGGAACCTTATAGAGATATGAGTCTGACACCTTCTCTGCACGCTGGTCTCACACTTTTCCATCCAGCAGGCTAAGCTAAGCTAGATTTACCAACACAGAAAGTTTCTTCCTCATCAAGACAAAATTTTGAAGATAGTCTCTTTAAAATGTCCTGTTGGGGCAATGATTGATTACTTGAAGGATGGAGTTTGGTCCCATAGGGTGGAGATACGGATTTGTTGCGTCGCCCTTTTGATAGAGGCATCATATTGCCTCCATCAAAAGCTCCTTGGCTTTGTCCTCCAGAAACTCAACCATGCTGCCGGACAAATATGTTTCCTATAGCAACGTTTCACGTGGCAACATTTAGGTGAAGTTAAACAGGTTTTCCAACCATATATGATTTATGGCTAAAAAGTGCAACAGAAAAAACTGTTGATTAGGAAAAAAAAAAGATTAGATCTACTGAATATCTCAAAAGTTTCTACTGATTCTTTCCTTTTGTGTTAAACTAAGAAGCATTACTGAGGAAAGAAAAAAAGCTCTTCCTAACCTGATCTTGACATAATCTCTTACTTTGGTGTCGTATTCTTAGAGAGTCCATGAAAAACGAGACATTTACAACTTGAATGAGGAAGAGGAGCTGACTCACTACGGCCAGTCGTTGGCTGAAATAGAGAAATTCAATGATGCTGTTGGCAGCGACGATGAATCGGAAGAGAAAGGACTTTTATCAGGTGAGACCGAAACACCTGCATTTTGTTTGCTT